AAAAAAAAAAAAAAGGATAAAGAGAACCATGTATGCATCAACTAAGAAAAGTATATTCACAAATAAAGCTAAATGAACACATAGGAAAAGACAAGAATCTAACAATAACTTCTTCCTTTTTCCTCTGCTTAGGTTATTCCAATTTGCTTAAAAAAACAACCTGAATCTAGAAATACCCAATTCGAGAAATCAACTAAAAACACAAACTAAAGCAATTTTCTCACTTGAAAAGCAAGCAGAATTCAAAGCCAAAACAATACATATAATAATTCTTCCTTAGAGTGGTCCAACTCATAAACGCCGAACGATATCTACTGCTTCCTGATTGATAACTTTATCCCATAAACCATCATATGCAATGATTAAGAACTCCAATTCATGATTAAGTCCAAGAACCTAGTCTCATATTCTGATGTAGCTCATTGTTTAAGACACTGATCTCCAATACCTCTTGATACAGCAAGAGATCCCTGAATTCTCCAAATGCCGCAACAACAATCTACCTAGCCACCCTACACAACACAAACCACGTATTGATCAGACTATTCAGAATTTCAGATTTATCAAAGAGTCAAATTTGTGTAAAAAATAGCTACACGATCAGGTCATTTAAAAGGTAAGTGCAAGTAATTATATTCATTGTACTGCTGTTGTGAGCAGAGGAGGGGTTGCTGAACATTGACTTCTCATCATAGGCCTTCAAGAGAAAAATTGTTGTCTGCTTACCACGAAACTCATTGCAAGAAAACAATTAGAGTAAACACATATAGAACTACCTAGTACAAGCATTCATTGAAAAGGAAGGGTGAAATCTTGAGCTTACGTCTTCTCAATACTTAGTGAAAATGCTCCTTGCAAAAGAAAACTGAAAGAAAAACAGCCAAAGTTATCCTAGAAAAAACGCAGTAGATCAACAGATCAATCAGAAGTCAGACGACGCCTCCTTTCATAATCTACATCCCTTGTCCTTGGCCGTAAAAATGCAACAGTACCAAATACATCAAAAAATTAAAGGAAACATCTTAACTCCCGGTCTTTATCTCACGCCATAGCTAACACATACAGTGCAAGAAAATAATTTGATAAAAGATCAGAGAAGATCAGACCCCCAAAATTTATTTTGAACACATGCATGGTAGGAAAACGCAAACAAGGTGCCCATTTTCCTACTATTTAGTAGTGAGTAAACTGAAAAGCGACAAGATAAATCCATTATCTTAAAAAAAGAAACCCAAATCAGAAGTTGGATTTCTTTGATTACTGAATTGAATATTAACTAATTAATTAACGATAGATAAACTGTGGGTCAGTTTTGAAGTATTAAGAATATTTTGTCTAGAGACTTAAGTGAGAGAGAATGCTCCAGAGACAAAAGCACAAATTAAACTTACTGATGGAGGAAATGGTGATGGGTTTTGGATGTTGAAGTTGAACAAAGTTATCCCACTGTAACGCAACGAACCAAGTCAAGTTCAAGCATAAATCCACTTGCATGTTACAGAAGTTGGAAGAATCACCAAGAAAAAATAGGACTAAATTGTTTCCAGCCACCACCATGGAAGGAAGAAAAAGACCGCAGAAGCGAAGAGATGAAAATAACAATTGTCTACAGAAGAAATTAGAATATACGTACGATTCGACTGGGAATTTGTACAATTAACACGTGGAAAGTTACAAAATCAAAAGTAATACCATAATACCCTTCGTCATACCTACTACTTTCACTTATTATATAAAAAAAAACTAGATGGATTCTGCCCGTGCATAATGTTAGACCCCTAACTCTTGACAACGGACGAGGCACGGCTGTGGCAAGGATTTAGCGTGATGGCCTCGCTATATTGGCCTATGTGCAGGCGAAACAATTATGCGGGGCAATGCCGAAGACATTGTCATGTGGGCTGTCAGGAACAAGTATTGGTCGAGGTCTTTGGAACGACAAGATATGCCTGGCAAAGGCTTGAGAAGGCAGCAAGGACTAATTGGGGCGGCATGGCACGACATGCGCGCCAAAGTCAGTAAACTAATTGGGGCGGCATGGTACGACATGCGCACCAAAAATGGGCACGAGCATGACTGTTGAGAACAAGTATTGACAAATGTCTTTGGAACGACAAGATATGCCTGGCAAAGGCTTGAGAAGGCAGCAAGGACTAATTGGGGCGGCATGGTACGACATGCGCACCAAAAATGGGCACGAGCATGACTGTTGAGAACAAGTATTGACAAATGTCTTTGGAACGACAAGACATGACAAAGGCTTGAGAAAACAGTGTGGCAAGTGAAAGGCGGTATTGCAGAACATGCGCGCCAAGGTCGAGGATACGGGCACTTCGGGTTGTGGCAGTGTCAAATGCAGACGAGGCAAGGTAAAGCGTGGGCAAGGCAAGTTGAAGGGCAAAAACGTGGGCAAAAGTTGTGAACAAGTGTGCTGGATGTGTGCTGGAGTGTGCCAGTGCAAGGGCAAAGTGTGATGGGCACTTGCTGAAGCTGGTAGTGCTGGAATGGGCCCGCTAAGTGGAAAGCTGATGCTGAAGAGGGCCATTTCGTGGATAGTGCTCCAGAAAATAGGGCATAGTGCTTCAGTCATTATTGTTTAGTGATGTTTGTTTATAGCTATTGTAATTGTCCTTTTGTAAAGCTGGTCCCCCATGTAAAAATGCCCTTTGTAATCTGCTATGTGACAGATACTGCTAGACAACAAGTGTTCATGTGCTGTCAAGTGTCAAAGGCAGCCTATGTGCTATAAATAGATGCCTTTGGCCTTAGTCAGTGTATCAAGAGATGGGTCAGATATCTCGAGAGAGATATAGGGTCGAAACAAGAAAGAAACGGGAGGATTTTTGAGTGTTTCAAATGAGGGCTAAGATTGGGCATTGGGCAGATCTTAGTGGATCCAGATATAGGATCGAAACAAGAAAGAAACGAGAGGGTTTCTGAGTGTTTCAAACGGGGGCTAAGGTTGGGCATTAGGCAGATCTTAGTGTGGCATAAGAGCGACTTGTGTTCTTTGCCAAAGTGGGGCTGTGATCGGATTGTGATCATAGTCAGATTCTTTATATTATACTGTAAATAATATAAAGGTTGAGATTTTCCCGTATTTGATTGTCTCTTTGCAATTGTTGTCAAAGTCGTCTAAGTAAAAGCTTGCTGAAAATTTAGCAAGGTGTTGGACAGGCTGAAGGACAAGTTAGGGGGCGAAACTTGGCTGTCGCGCGGGGCACGGTTTTCGTAGGCGGAAAACGGCCCCGCGACAAACTGGTATCAGAACTGGTGAAGCGATTGACGTTAAGTTTTGCTTTGAGAACTGAAATCAAAGCAAGGCAAGTTCGTGGAAGTGGCAAGACGACCAGTGGCAGACATCGTATTGCAATTTGAGAACATGGCTGGTGGCACAAATGCTGAACTCCGCCAAAGAGTGGAGCAGTTAGAAGCACTTATGGGGCAGGCTCTTGAGGAAGGCACCGATTCTTCTATTCTTGCTAGAATGGCACGACTGGAGGCAGATTATGCGGCGAGGCATGAAACTACGCTGGCATAAATGGCCTTAGTGCGCAAGGAGAACGAAGAAATGCAGAGGGAAGTGGTTCAACTTCGAATGGCATTACTGAATATTGCCCCTAGAAGCGATGAACGTCCCAGAGTAAGAGTTCCGGAGCCAAAGTCCTATAGTGGTGCGAGAAGTGCCAAAGAACTGGAAAATTTCTTGTGGGATATAGAACAGTATTTCCAGGCTGCACGTGTACAAGATGATGAAAAGGTGACCAATACGCCTATGTATTTGACAAATGATGCAAAGGTGTGGTGGCGCACACGAGTTGCAGAAGGGGAAAGTGCTGGACTGCCCAAGATCAGAACTTGGGAGATGTTGAAGAAGGAACTAAAATCTCAGTTCCTTCCAACTAATTCGTCATGGATGGCAAGGGACGAACTACGTCACTTGAAAAAAGGTGGCACGGTTAGGGAGTATGTCAAGGAATTCTCATCCCTGATGCTAAATGTGGGTAATATGGCTGAGGAAGACAAGCTGCATTACTTCATGAGCGGATTGAAAGGATGGGCGCAACTAGAGTTGAGAAGGCAGAATGTTCAAAGCCTCTCTACTGCTATTGCGGCGGCTGACGCTTTGGTTGACCTCAATTTGAGGCATGATCCTGTTGAATCTTCGCATTCAAAGTCTGATGCAAGGAAGGAAAAGACGAGGGAATGGAAGAAAAATGGGAAAGGCCAAGCTCCCGAGGACGAATGGGGTGCCAAGAAGGGAAGGCAGATGGAGACTTCCTATGGCAAAGAAAGAAGCAACAAATTCGATGGCTGTTTCACTTGTGGTGGACCGCATTTGAAGAGGGACTGTCCGGTGCAAGCAAAGGTGAATGCTATGCTGGCTGCCGAGAAGCGAAATCAAATGGCGGGGGCAAATGCCATTGTGGCAGATGCTGAAGAAACTAATGGGGAGGTGTTTGTCAACAACCCCTTGGGGCTTTTCAAATAGGACGGATCGACGAGGACGTCGATTTCAAAGGGTGCGGGTAGTTTGTTAGACCCCTAACTATTGACAACGGACGAGGCACGGCTGTGGCAAGGATTTAGCGTGATGGCCTTGCTATATTGGCCTATGTGCGGGCGAACAATCATGCGGGACAATGCGGAAGACATTGTCATGTGGGCTGTCAGGAACAAGTATTGGCTAAGGTCTTTGGAACGACAAGATATGCTTGGCAAAGGCTTGAGAAGGCAGCAAGGACTAATTGGGGCAGCATGGCACGGCATGCACGCCAAAGTCAGTAAACTAATTGGGGCGGCATGGTACGGCATGCGCACCAAAAATGCGCACGAGCATGACTGTTGAGAACAAGTATTGGCAAATGTCTTTGGAACGACAAGACATGACAAAGGCTTGAGAAAACAATGTGGCAAGTGAAAGGCGGCATTGCAGAACATGCGCGCCAAGGTCGAGAATACGGGCACTTCGGGTTGTGGCAGTGTCAAATGCAGACGAGGCAAGGTAAAGCGTGGGAAAGGCAAGCTGAAGGGCAAAAACGTGGGCAAAAGTTGTGAACAAGTGTGCTGGATATGTGCTGGAGTGTGCCAGTGCATGGGCAAAGTGTGATGGCCATTTGCTGAAGCTGGTAGTGCTGGAATGGGCCCGCTAAGTGGAAAGCTGATGCTGAAGAGGGCCATTTCGTGGATAGTGCTCCAGAAAACAGGGCATAGTGCTTCAGTCATTATTGTTTAGTGTTGTTTGTTTATAGCTATTGTAATTGCCTTTTTGTAAAGCTGGTCCCCCATGTAAAAATGCCCTTTGTAATCTGCTATGTGACAGATATTGCTAGACAACAAGTGTCCATGTGCTATCAAGTGTCAAAGGCAGCATATGTGCTATAAATAGATGCCTTTGGCCTTATTCAGTGTATCCAGAGATGGGTCAGATATCTCGAGAGAGATATAGGGTCGAAACAAGAAAGAAACGGGAGGGTTTCTGAGTGTTTCAAACGGGGGCTAAGATTGGGCATTGGGCAAATCTTAGTGTATCCAGATATAGGATCGAAACAAGAAAGAAACGAGAGGGTTTCTGAGTGTTTCAAACGGGGGCTAAGGTTGGGCATTGGGCAGATCTTAGTGTGGCATAAGAGCGACTTGTGTTCTTTACCAAAGTGGGGTTGTGATCGAACTGTGATCATAGTCAGATTCCTTATATTATACTGTAAATAATATAAAGGTTGGAATTTTTCCATATTTGATTGTCTCTTTGCAATTGCTGTCAAAGTCGTCTAAGTAAAAGCTTGCTGAAAATTTAGCAAGGTGTTGGACAGGCTGAAGGCCAAGTTAGGGGGCAGAACTTGGCTGCCGCGCGGGGCGCGGTTTTCGTAGGTGGAAAACGGCCCCGCGACATATAGCACGGGCCCAATACTGTAAAATATGAAATTACTATTTATGATTAATTTGTTTTGATATGAAATTGCATAGGAGGGACAGAAGTTGAGATATTATTGAAGTGACAGACTATTCACATCCATGAGAATACTAAATATACATATATAAACATATTATTTTTTACATATCAACAAAAAGAGATGCATTTGAAGTGACATAGTATTCACATCCATGAGAATACTAAATATACATATATAAACATATTGTTATTTACATATCAACAAAAAGAGATGCACTTTACTTCGAAAGTGGCATAATATTTACATCCACGAGAGTATCTATATTCACAAAAGGTGATTCTTTGTCCATACAGTAATTGTTCTTCTTCTTTGTAGTGCATCAAAAGTACTGACATCTGCAAAATCACAGGAAAATTACCTAGTTTTAGTACCTATATAACATAATGAATTAAGTTTTAGGGTAATATGAATGCAACTGATTTTTTCTAAAGCACTTTTTCAGTATGGGATGATGCCTCCCTACAAGATTAACATAAGTAGGCCTTCTGTTATACCATTATTGATCAAACAATCCTTAATGATACAATATCCTAAGGCAAAGCACGTTAATTTTTTATTTAAGAACAAACTCCTTTAATAAAAAGATAATGAAACACACAAACACACCCAAAAAAGAGAAGCAACAAAATTTAGAGTCATCATCTTATAGCCCTATTAATTAATTTCAATTGTAATGCAAATCACATCGTGATTCAACAAGTAGACTATAGACAAATTCCATCTTTTAAGTCTTCTGATTTTCAGAAGTATAAGCAAAGAAAATACCGATCGTGATGTGTTTGACCAATCATAGTGCCCATCTCTATCTTGCAACTATGACCAATGCAGTTGTTTCAATACTTAAGTCTTTGGGGGAAGACCCATCAAGGAAAGAGATTGTAGGTACTCCATATCGTTTCTTGAAGTGGTCACATTTACTTCATTTTCAAGGTGTTGTGCATCTAGGTTATTACTCTTAAAATGGACTTAATTCCATTGGAAGAAGTGAATTGCAGTCAATCATACATTTTCAGATGTTGGGTAGAATGAGGCGTGCCACAAGTTGAATATGAGGTTTTTTTTATGGCCACTCCTAGCATGTTCAATAGTTTAAGAAAATGACGATGCTCAACTGTTGAAAAGACTTTTTTCATATTTTGTCTTTATTAAAAAGCATTCTTAGTAATGAGGAAGACATGGTGAATTTTTCTTAAATCATTCTATATTGACATGTTAATAAACCATGAAGAATGAGTTAATTAAGTAATATAGGAGATGGAGTAGTATAATAGACAGATACTAAATAGGTAAACTAACCTAATATCACAGTAGCAAAAGATTAGGTTTAACCGTAGGCAAAAAGCAGCAACATAACTATGGCTTTAACCGCATCCAATAAAGCAGCAAAATGCCTTCAAATGCATCCCAAAACAACAGCAAAATGTGGCTTCAGCTTCAACTAAGAGAGTAAGTGAAATTAAGTAAATATGTTGTACATCGATTAAAATTGCTAGAACGTTCCAAGAGAAAATTAAATAATGCTAAGGGGTGCAAAAACAAGTGTATGTAGGAACTACACATGTGTTGATCTGTTTTTTTAGAACTATCATATTAATTACATCTTAAAATTAATTATATGATTAGATGAAAGAACAACAAATTAATTAAAAAGTTCAAATACCTTACAAATACTTTATCAAAGGAGGAGTCCTTATTTCCAAGCCCCGCTTGTAGTAGGAAGCATTGCCTTTGTTAGTTGTCTCTTGAGCTTCTCTTCCCTCCAAGCCAAGGCGTTCAATTTTGCGTTTGCTCCCCTTGGCAACATCCATCATGGTTGGTGGGAACTCTTGGTGGATCTCATTGTCTTTGTTCATGTAAGATAAAATGGACAACTTTTGCAATGTATCATGATATTTTGTAAATAATTTTTTCATTTGAATTTTGAATATCTTTTCACTCAATTGTTTCTGCACATCCGCAAGAGGTAAAATTTGTTTCTGGGAGGACTAAATTGATTAGTTATGTATCAAAAGAGGGTCATTTTGCCATTTGTATGTTTTTGAAGCTAATAGTAATATGAAATATGTACCTTCACATGGTAGGTGTCATAAATTTCTTCTGAGCTGAGGCATAACATTTTCTCGGCAGGTTTGTCCGAAATAATGGCTGTTCCAAAACCACTACTGTCTCTAACAGTGACTTCAAATTGACATCTGTTATAATGTATAGCAAATATTTGGTTAGATGAATAAAAATAAAATAACTGTAAACTCTAAAGAGTTATTAGTCATATAGAAGAATCTAGTAGCATTTATACCTTTGAATTAGATGAGTGGATCGCTGACAGTTTGTACAATAAATTGTCCTCCGAGAGAAAGATCTCGTGAACAATTGCTTACAGTCAGAACAAGCTAACACACAAAATCGTTGGTTCTCATTTGGCAGAGAAAGTTCAGCTTCGACATAAAATACATGTCCCTATATAATTCAAGAATGCCACATGTTTTTTTTGTGACTACAAAAAATATTTAAATTTCGATAGAATAATATAATTTATATTGTTCTTACTTGAGGTTGTGCTTGGATATTGAAAATAGCTATGATTTTATCCTCAAAGGGAACCACCATAACAAAGCCTGTGGAAGATGTACTCTTTAGTTTGTACGCATTAAGCATTGGTTCAATTGTTTTGGCCCTACAAGGTAGATAAAATCTAAAAAATTTGTTCTTGTATATATTAATGCATTATATCAACAATATGCTTCTACAAATGCATAATTCACAAAGAAATACATGCATAATACCATGACTTCAACTCAACAGCTTGTGGGTAAGGAGGATTGAAATAGATTGTTGTACTAAATTTGTTCGACAACCCACTGAATTTGTTCGATGATCCTACATGCATTCAAATATTAAAATTTGATTTCATTGTTTGATATTTGAAAACGAAAAAGGTAAAATCATGTAAGTACTAATACCTGATGATGATCTACCAATTTTTCTAGCAAGAATAACTGGGTATTCATTCAGTTGTTTCAAAAGTTTATTCCCATAAAGATCAATGAAATCTTTCCAGAGTGTGAATTTTGTTGTGTTTTTCATGTAAACAATGAATAGAAGATGTTCAAATACTATATTGAAGCCACATAAAGAAAATACAATATTTGCTACCAGGCTCTCCCATGGGAACTTGTAAAATGATTCTCAAACCCAAAACTTGAAGCATATAGAAGAAATATGAAATGAGCATGAGATGACAACAATTCATAATATTGATGATTTATAGTCTGATATAATTGGTCATTAGTTTCAACCAACATACTGTTGTAGCAAGGAAGTCAAGTAAATGTAACTAAAAGTAATAGCTAAATGTGAACTTGGACGATAAAATAAACCTCAAATGTAAGACATTCTTTATTTACAAGGTAATGTAAATTCAGAAGACACAAAAACTGAAAAAGTAAAATACCTGCCATATAAATAAATTCTCCCAAATATTTAAGTTGCAAAAACAAAAGAAGTCAAGTGCTCAGGGAAACAAATAATGAAATATTTTACTTTGCAATCACATAAATCAAGCATTCCAAGTTACATCACATATACTTTAAGCTTAGGAGGTTAATATGAAATTGTGAACAATAACAAATATCTAGCTTAGACAAAAAAATGATGGCCACATATTTCAATAAAAGGAAGCCCTGTTTCCCTAAGAAAAATTTTGGCACTATGAAAATATAAGACGGAAGTTACACCTTTAGTCTGGTTAAGGTAATGTACGAAGTCACAACCTAATGGCTAAGATGTTCTTTTTCACACATTGCATTTTCAAGAATCCCAATAAAGCCACTATCCTGAGTTTTAGCTTCAAGCTTTCGTTTCTATGTGTGCTTGATTTAACAAGAACCATATTACAAGAGTGCGAGTGCTTCACCCTCTTACCACTCAGCAGTACTACAATATGGAAATATAATCTCAAACTAAAATGCTGCAAAAACAACATCATAGTTGAATCACATGCAATCTTTTTTTTGCCATAAAAAGAGAAAACCAACAGCTACAACCGAAAAAGGAGAGGTGGTTGAAGAATCACTATTTGATTCTGCTATTATTCGGGTGCAAGATGACTGAAACGAAACCTACCGTTGATGTCATTCCGGTTATGTCCAAAATTACGGAGAATAAGTTCATGGGTTCCAATTACATGGATTGGAGTAAGACGATCCGTCTCTATTTGCGGAGCATCGACAAAGAGAACCACTTGGTTGATGATCCACCCAAGGATGAGACTAAATCAGTCTGGTTAAAGGAGGATGCAAAATTGTTTCTCCAAATCAAGAATTCGATGCACAGTGAGGTAAATGATCTAGTTTCTCATTGTGATTATGTGAAGGATCTAATGGATTATTTAGATTTTTTGTACTCTGGCAAAGGAAACTTGTCTCGCATGTATGATGTGTGCCAGGCATTTTACCATCCATCCATGCAAGATCGCTCTCTCACCACTTACTTCTCAGAGTTTAAGAAGGTGTATGATGAGCTTAATGTTATATTGCCGTTTAGTCCAGATGTGAAGGTACAACAGGCTCAGCGTGAACAACTGGCGGTCATGAGTTTCCTTTCTGGTCTTTCTCCCGAATTTGAAGGGGCCAAATCGCAGATTTTATCTGGGACTGCTATCTCTTCCTTGAAAGAGGCCTTTACAAGAGTGTTGCGTACTGAAAAGTCTCATCCAGGTCCGACAGCCACGATCGATAGTGGTGCTCTGCTTAGCCGCGTCCAAAAGAATAGGAGTCATAGTAATCGCAATCGGAGTAGCGATAGTCGAGACCTAAAGCAAGGGGAAGTTGAATGTTTTTATTGTCATGAGCTCGGTCATACCATACGTTATTGTGTGAAGCTTCAGAATAAGAACAAAAGATCTCAGTATGCCAACATCGCCACTTCCGAGACTATTTCACCATCTCAGACATCATCTCCTCCTATCAATACTATCTCCGAGTCAGGTAAAACCACTAAGTGTCTCCTCTCTTCGTCATCCAAATGGGTCATTGATTATGGTGCCACAGATCATATGACAGGTAACTCTAAACTCTTTGCCACTTTTCAGTCACATACCCAATGTTCCACAGTTACTTTAGCCGATGGGTCTACCTCATATGTTTTAGGGTCTGGCACTGTTAACCCAACATCTTCTCTTTCACTTAGTTCCGTCTTAAATTTGCCTGATTTTTCTTTCAATCTAATATCTGTCAGTAAACTTACTCGTACTCTAAATTGTTATGTCTCATTTTTTTCCAATTTTTGTCTTTTTCAGGATCTTACGACGAAGCAGATTATTGGTAAAGGTTCTGAGTCTGGGGGTCTCTATGTTCTTGAATCACAGGTGCCGAAATCCATTTCTTGTTCAACTGTGTTGTCTCCCTTTGATGTACACTGTTAATTGGGTCATCCATCCTTGTCTAGTTTGAAGAAGTTATATCCTCAGTTTTGGAGTATTTCCTCTTTAGATTGTGAGTCATGTCAGTTTACTAAACACCATCGCCTTCCTAAAGTTTCTAGAGTCAATAAATGGTCCGATTTACCTTTTGAGTTAGTTCACACCGATGTTTGGGGTCCATGTCCTATTATCTCTAAAACTGGTTTTAGATATTTTGTTACCTTTGTGGATTATCATTCTCGTGTTACTTGGTTATATTTAATGAAAAATCGTTCGGAGTTGTTTTCAATATTTTGTGCTTTTTGTGCTGAAATAAAAACTCATTTTAATGTTTCCGTTCATAATTTAAGGAGTGACAAGGCAAAAGAATATTTTTCAGATTTGTTTAAAGATTATATGGTTACAAATGGTATTCTACATCAATCTTCTTGTGTTGACACCCCTTCTCAAAATGGGGTTGCGGAACGAAAAAATAGACATCTTCTTGAAGTAGGCCGAGCACTCCTCTTTCAAATGAAAGTGCCAAAATGTTTTTGGGCTGATGCCGTCTCTACAGCTTGTTTTTTAATAAATCGTATGTCATCTTCTGTACTTCATGGTAATATTCCTTACAACATTCTTTTTTCCTCTAAGCCATTATTTCCTATTGAACCCAAAATATTTGGTTGTACTTGTTTTGTTCGTGATGTTCGTCCACAGGTAACTAAATTAGATCCAAAGGCCCTTAAGTGTGTGTTCTTAGGGTACTCACGTCTTCAGAAAGGTTATCGGTGTTATTCTCCAGATCTCAAAAGGTACTTAGTGTCTGCCGATGTCACATTCCATGAAAATTATCTGTTCTTTTCTTCATATGTTTATAACAGTCCTACAGAAGAAGATGATACTTTAGTCTACACTGTCACACATCCAGTTAGTTCTCCAACACCTCTTCCTCAGTCACCCGTTTCCCTCGATCGACCATCCGAGCAACCACCTGTTCTTCGTGTGTATACCAGGCGACAACAAACCTCAGAACCCGATCCTTTACCTACTTCTGCTTCGTCGGTAGATCCAACCTCCTATGTTTCAGATCCTAGTTTAGATCTTCCTATTGCCATTCGCAAAGGTACACGACAATGTACTTATCCTATTTCTTCTTTTGTGTCTTATGACCATTTGTCTACTTCTTCTAGCTCATTTATTGCATCATTAGATTCTGCTAGGATACCTAAAACTGTTCGTGAAGCATTGTCCCACACAGGTTGGCATGATGCAATGATAGAAGAGATGATGGCTTTAGATGATAATGGTACTTGGGAGTTGGCCGATCTGCCCACTAACAAAAAGGCTATTGGGTGCAAGTGGGTAATTGCTGTTAAGTTTAACTCCGATGGGACAGTAGCTCGCCTTAAGGCACGCCTTGTTGCAAAAGGGTATGCACAGACCTATGGAGTCGACTATTTGGATACTTTTCCCCGGTCGCCAAGTTAGCTTCTGTTCGATTATTTATTTCCATGGCAGCTACTTATGATTGGCCTCTGCATCAGCTTGATATAAAGAATGCTTTTCTACATGGAGATTTTCAGGAAGAAGTATATATGGAGAAACCACCTGGGTTTGTTGCTCAGGGGGAGTGTGGAAAGGTATGTCGTCTTCGAAAATCTCTTTATGGGCTGAAACAGAGTCCCTGTGCTTGGTTTGGCAGATTTAGTAAGGCTGTTCTAGAATATGGGATGAAGAAAAGCAACTGCGATCATACAGTGTTTTATAAAAAGTCTGATGATGGTATTCTTTTATTGGTAGTATATGTTGATGACATCGTTATTACTGGAAGTGATATTACAGGAATTTCAACTCTAAAGTCTTTCCTTCACACTCAATTTCAGACGAAAGATTTAGGGCAACTAAAGTATTTTTTGGGAGTTGAAGTTACACGGAGCAAGAAAGGCATCTTCTTGTCCCAAAGGAAATATACTCTTGACTTGTTAGCTGAAACTAGAAAGTTGGGATCTAAACCATGCAGCATGCCAATGGTTTCTAACACACAACTCGTGAAAGAAGACGGTGAGTTATTCGAAGATCCAGAGAAATATAGGAGATTGGTTGGGAAACTGAACTCTCTTACAGTAACTCGTCCCGATATCGCATACTCTGTCAGCATTGTGATTCAGTTTATGTCTTCCCCAATAGTCAGGCATTGGGCGGCTCTGGAGCAGATTCTTTGTTATCTAAAGGGATGTCCAGGACGGGGTCTAGTATATAAGAATAATGAACACACTAACATTGAGTGTTTCACAGATGCGGATTGGGCAGGGTCAAAAGCCGATAGGAGATCCACGACAGGATATTGCGTTTTTGTTGGTGGAAACTTGATTTCGTGGAAGAGTAAGAAACAAAATGTCATATCTCGATCTAGTACGGAAGCAGAATACAGAGCTATGGCATAATCTGTGTGTGAGGTTGTATGGGTACATCAACTATTAAGTGAAGTTGGCTTCCAAACTACATTGCCAGCAAAGTTGTGGTGTGATAATCAAGCTGCTCTTCATATCTCCTCTAATCCTGTATTTCACGAAAGGACTAAGCACATTGAAATAGATTGTCACTTTGTTCGTGAAAAGATTCAACAAAAGCTCATCTCTACAGGTCATGTTAGAACTGGAGATCAATTGGGAGACATTTTCACAAAAGCTTTGAATGGAGCTCGAGTTGAATATATCTGTAACAAGTTGGGCATGATCAATATATATGCTCCAACTTGAGGGGGAGTGTTGACATACAAGTTGTCTAGCACATGTATACACATGTACTACATCATAGCTAGCACATGTATATGAGTTGTATAGTAGGTGTAATACAAGTTGTGTAGCACATGTATACACATGTACTACATCATAGCTAGCACATGTATATGAGTTGTATAGTAGGTGTAATTAGGTGTATGACAACTAATAGATTAGGTGAATTAGTATTATAAATAGGCCTTGTAATCTTCTCTTCTAGATATGAAATATAGAACTTCTTTGGTTTCTAACAAAGTCTAAGATCATAATCTGAAATATAGTTTTGCATCATCAGATAAAGTTTAAAATAATAAAATAAGAATGAATATATCAAGTGTCAACATGTCATCCAAGTACTATGTACACAAAGCTCTAGTGTGTTGATCTGTGTCTTAAACAAATCTTAAGGTCGATTACACCCTAGAGTAGTGTCATTTAACCAAAAAAACAAAAGTATAACTTCTAACGGAAAAAGTAAAAGTGATATCTCCAAAATGCTAAATCTTGCGAACAGCTTTTATCTTTTACAAGGAAAGTTGTGATGCATATGCATTACACATATCCTGAGATAAGAATATAACTTATGAAGAGGAACCATTGAGAAAAACCCAAGAAATCTAACAACAAAAAAGAAACCATATCATCCACCCCAAAGAGGGGTTCTTAATATTAGCTGCATTATTAGCTTCAACTGTCTGTTCGGCAACAAGCCAACAACTTCACTCGTGCAAAACAGATAGCTCTCTAAACCTCCTGCTCATCCAAAGTAACATAAACAAAAATCAAGTAAGAGTAATTGAATTATTAAGTAAGAGTAATTGAATTTGAGATGCTACTATCATTCTTAAGAAGAAATCTAGGAAACATTTACACATCTTTTCAAATAAAGGCATGGAAGAAAAATGGTGAATAATAAGACGTAGAGAGGGGATACAACCTTATGTTTCGCGAAAGCAGGACTACGAAGATTCCTCTCTCACTACAGCTCTTTGTCCCTTCCCTCCCCTGATATACCCCTATTATTTCAAAATGTATTTTACAAGTTAAGAAAATAACAAACTATCTGGATATTAGTAGCGGTCGACCATCGTAATGGACCCAAAATAAATGCGTCCATCAAGAATGAAATGCATGGAGTAAAAAGAATGTAGATACTACCATCATATTTCCTCTCTGATTTTATAAAGTAAGGATACTAACCACTTAAAATATCATTCCGGCTCATTAGCGGAAACATAAGTGACCAAGAATCATTGCTCATTTTAAATGCAAGTGCAATATTTAATATAAAGAGCTTCACATTTTGGTTCACTCGACTCTCCTATCTTGAGTAACATTATGAGAAACTTAGCCATGTGGTTCGATTTAAGGCATGCCCCTTTTTTTTTGGTGGCAGCTAGCTTAGTAGAATCTCTATTCTCAAAATAGAATAACGTTTTTTTGGTACAGTGCACAAATCATGTGTGTGCATTCATTGGCATGTGAAACTCGATTACAAGGAATATTGGAGAGTGAAGATTACTATAACAAACTTCAATTACCGAATGAATTATACACAATGGAACTTATACACAATGAAACTTAGTTGTCCAACATCTAAACTTCGATAACCTCACTATGTCATTCAGCTTTAATTACAAATCAGTGACTCCTTATGGAGCTATTAGTAAGTCCTCAATCTGATTGTAAATACTCTGACCTTTAGTTGCTATTATTTCATTTGTGAATCAGATAAAATAATAGTTTCTCTGTCCGGATGATAATATTCTCGCTGTAGCTTTTTTCATATAGAGTAAGAAAAGTTGAAGTAATTCATGTTTATCTATTATCTCTTTATGAAAGAAGAAGGCTTTGTAGGAGTTGTTTGAAGGCACCTAAAGTTGGAAGGTAATTTTGGAGAGAAAACATCTAGTTTTAGAATGTGAGTATTTGTGGGATATACTAAAAAGGATCTACTTCTACTTTGTTATTTAAGCTACAACTGACATTACTTTGGGTTGTTACTGCACTCAAATTTTTGATACCTGAATATACCTAGAGGATCAGTTGAGATTTTGAAAATGATATGACTAACCTTATTGATGTTTTTGCAGATGACACTATTATGCTAAGGGGTGTGAAATTCTACAATGATCTATTCATGCAGTGGGAGCTGATTCATCGGCTGGAAGATTACATAAGAACTTTGAGCTTCAAAAATTTGTAAATATGGAATGAGGGTAAATGCATTGTAAATAACGAATTCACACATATCTATCAATTCCCTTTGTCTAACATTTAAATTTTTCCTAAGTAAGAGCTTAAGTTCCCTCTTTATTCAATTTGAATCTCCCTTTAAACATAGTCGTTATCATATATTCTGGACTTTCCAGAGCACAAACTCAATTCTGATTCCTAATAGTATCGGGCTTTCGTCTAATCTAAATTTCATACCACACATCATAATTTCTGCTAATAAGATGTAAAACTTCATCCAAACTCATGTACAGCTAGATAGAAGAGCCATATCAACAATATTTGTATACATGTGGTCATTATTTATATTTTTTATTTTTTTGTGAGGTCGAAGGAAATTGATCTTTGTCTAGTGAGATATAGATAATTATAATTTAAAAGAATTTCTAGTGGTAGGGGTACGATTTCCTTCCTATAGCAATGTAAGGAATAGAAAATATTTTTTTCCCTGTTGTTCTTTCTATTCGTGCAATTCATATGGTACTTTATCTTATAATCATGTTAACTTTTATTCATGATTGATTTAACTTTCGTTTATCATTAAGACTACAAGGATCTAAAAAGGAGCCTAAAATTGGAATAAGAAAAATAGAGATGAAAGTAAACATTATAAAATGTCTAGAAGAGCTTTTCAAAAACTCTTCACGAAATCCATAAGCAGGTCATTTAGATCTAAAGGAGGAGGTGAAAGACGAATGCTAGAGTACTGACAATTGATGTTATATTTATTCTCAAATATAGAGCTTCCTTCTTACACTTGGATAACTCATGAACCATCAATTTGCTTTACGGTTCATTTCTGCACACCATCTGCAGGAGGTTGTCTTTTTATAGCTTTCGACCACTGTGGATTGTATCGTAAGCAATAGCAAAATACAAGCTTAATAATCAGGAGATTCCTCCAAAGATATCAAAATCTAGACTAAATCAACTATAAAAGAATTATATTTAAGTAGTCAACCAGATAATGTAAATATAGTGAAGTTAGAATGAATTCTCTGACCAAATCAAAAGAGCAGAATGAGCACAGATGATGCACACAATCCACCCAATAGCAATCAGTGGCGGAGTCCGAATTTTGAATAAGGGGATTCAAAAAAATGTAAGAATGTCATAAATAAGATATGAACTTATGTCAAGGAGGCTCAATGGTTGGTATATACAAAGAAATTTGTTTTTATCCTTTTTTCAAATTGTAACTTTCCACCTGAGGGGATTCAATTGAACCCCTTCACCAAAGGTAGCTACATCCATCAGTGGGATTAACCATTGCGCAAGACCAGGGTAAGCGCATGAAATTTCAACAAGGTCAAACTCAAATCCAATTCTCTCTTGGACGGCAACTACTCTGAAGGTTTCAGCAAAATAGGTATCTACATCTAATTTTTTTTTGATTTGCACCAGGTGTCTGAGTCTCTATGAGACCCGACTAATCCCGGGGGTGCGCAGGCCCTCGACAAGGAGTTTCCCGAAAGTGCACCACGGTTAATTCAGGTTTTATCTAGTCCGATGGCCCTCGAAAATTATTTGCACCTATTGGGTTTCGAACTTGAGACCTTGAAAGGGAGCAAACCCCAAGGCTCAAGTCAATTGCCACCAGGCCAACCCCTGAGGGTTTATCTACATCTAAAATCAATGATAAGAAATTTCTAATTAGTCAAATAATTAAATTACAATGCATCATGTGAGGCTCTGACTAAATCAACGGAACAAAGTGGATGTAGATGATTCATAGAACAATAAATTAGTTCACATATAAACCATTAGGTAGTAGTTAAAAGTTGCCGAGCCCGCTGCGGTCCATTAACGCAGCCACATAAATCTAAAGAAGGAGAAGAAATACGAAGAGTACTCACCTTTCAGTCACCAGACAGAAAGATAGCAGAAAAGTGAAGCTGCAAAAAAAAGGTGGAAACCCAAGCAAAACAGAGGCTGTTTCACAATTTATTGGGCGATATCAGCTAACCAGTGCGGTAAATTATCCGAAATAATGTTGAGGTTAAAGAGCAAATTTGCAGAAGCAAGGGGTACCAAAGTAAACAAACTTCAAGAGATAATGTTAATTGCAGATACCCACCAAAAACGTAGGTGGTGCTGAGAGAGAAGAACAGGTCACAACGCCAAAAGCAAGAACCAGTTTATCTTCCACGTCGGAAACGGAGGAGACGACGAAAAGGCGCGAGTACCCAAGAGAGAGAAACAGAGCACGGAGGAAAAGGAAAAGAATTCAGTGATTTTGCGTCCACAAAATCGGCTGTGTAAGACATGACAAAAAGACCAAAATAACCCCAAATTTTGATACAAAAAAGGGAGTTTGTTGTAATTGCAAAAGCGGGACGACGAAAAGCACCTTAACTCCCGCTTCTATATATACTAGTGTGAAATGGCCCGTGCTAAGCCCGGGCCCAAACCTAATAAATTAGTAATTTATATATTATTTTATGGAAGGAGTAGATAAACTTTTCATAGTGTACTCTGATTAGTGTGTGAAGTTGAAATGACATGCATGAGTAATGAGTAATGAGTTACAGGTACTCATTGTGATGATCATGCTATGCACAACCCCAAGCTCAGAGTCAAAAACATAGTTTGATATCTAATTATGTCGTTTATAGACATATATGCTTGTGGAAATAACATTTGACTATGTTGTAACTGACTTATATATGGCAAAAAAAGGTCGAAAGAGGAAGTACTGGATCATTTGGAGAAAATCTATCGAATATATTAGAGTTAGCTGTTTTCCAGCTGATAATTTTGTAAAATGATCAACAAACCTTATGAAGTAATATTATACAGGAATCATGCTTAGCTACAAATGCCTTGGACAGTAGAAAATGAGGAGTTTTCATCTCCCATTCACTAATGAAATTTTCTTGACTAACATATATAGACGATAACCATTAACGCTTACATTAAACAATACATCGATATACACATTTCAAACTTCTTTGCATATCTCTCTACTCCTCACACCTCTAAGATCTACACCCCCTTATATTAATGGTGCAATTTACCTAGGCCTAAGTATAAACAAAAATCTTAGTATTTCTCATGCCACAATGCCAGCAAAGCATATTTAAGCTTCATAAATAAGTTTGTCCATGTCTTGCACCATCCAGAAGTCCTTACATTATGTGCTAAGATGAACTGACAAAGCATAATTGAGAGGGAAGGGAAGACCAAAGTAAAAGTTGTCATCTTCAATTTCCTATTTTTCGGAGCAACATGAAGCAAACTCATAGTGACAGTAAGAAGCTCAACAGAAAAAGATAATCAACCAACGTAATAGGACATCTTCTTCCTCCCTCTTGTCACGAAATAAAAGGGCAAAAGAAAAAGAGACCTAACAGAAAATATTTGGTGCTCTAAAAGATCCAATTATGTACCTGCAATTTTGGGGAACTAATCTAGAGTTACAGACTACAATAGAACCTATCAGCGCGACCAATTAACAGTAAGGATTATTGCGTTCAAGCAAGTCATAAGAACCTTTGGCAGCAACCTAATTAACACAATGATGAACCTACTATAGTCTATCTACTTTTGAGTTTGTAACCAAATAGAGGCAATTCATGGATAGTTCCCTCCACTGTAAGTCTAAATTAATACGCTGGTCTTGAATTCAATAATGAGCCAAGAAGAATTCATCCTGAGGCCCGAGCTTCATAGCCTATCTTCATCAAGCAACCTAGTCTATATTGGTTTATTGTTTTCTAAAAACCTTACTTGATCACTCATTTTTTTTGTTTTTCAATTACTGGTGCTCATCTTGAAGATTTAAATGAATGATCTTTACATGAAATAAAAAAGTTGTCACTTTTTCCTGCCAATTGTTCATAAACAAGCAAAATAAATACTCTAATAGATAGTCGAACATACTATTAACATTTGGGAAAGAACACTATAACAAGCGTATAAAAACTTTCACAACTTCTAAAAGCACTTTTTCATTAAATTTTGACTTCTAATAGAAGTATAAAACACAATTGATGTTTATTGAGTTAGTCATGCTGAGTAAGAGCAAAAAAATTGAACTCCTGTACTTATAGCAAAGTTTAAAACATAGACTAACTCAATAATTAGGAGCGAATGAATTTAGAACTAACAGTGTATGCGCCACAAGTATTTCATGTACCATTTAACCCTTTAATTTCTATATTTTAACGCTACTAATTATCAAGAACTTAATCATAAAAACACCTATAACTTTATCTTGTGTTCAGAAAGTGCATACACCATCAATCAGAACTCTCCAACCCCTTAGCTAGTATTGGTTACTTCTCAATATTCAAAAAAACCTTCATGAATTCTTTGCATCTACTCCTTTAGTTATAGTTCCTTAAACAAATTGCACCTTCTTATCATCTGGATCACAGATCTGATGAAGCCAATATGGCAACATATCAGTAATTGTTATTTACAGTTGATGAATCTGAAACTAAGATACAGAACGAAGTTACCACTATATATCTTCAAGATTATATTTCTTGAATCGAGAGGGTCTTTTAGAAGTGGAAATACCTACCATTCATATCGACATAAAAATGTCTTAGAAGATATCAAATAGAAGAACAATATAACTACCAAAACAAGAAAACTGAGTATGATTAGAGGTAGAATTTGAATAACCTTAAACTTCTCCTCTAGCTCTTCGATTTGTTTTTATCATGGAATAAATTTCATAGGTTATCATCCCCATCATCTCCTTATCAGTGCCTTCTTCTTTAACTACAGCTGGCAGGAAGAAAAAGATTCTAACATACATGTATAAAACTACAACGAAATATTAACAGTATGATCAAAGCACGGAGGGGGAGAGAGCAGCTAGCAATATAACCTTTTGGTTTCTGAAAAATATTCAAGAGTATCACAAAAATGGATAATAACCTTTTGGCTCTTGCAATTGCTTCTGTCAATCCTTGAACATGTTATTTTGTTCACTCCAAAATTGTTTTGTTTTATGCAGAATACACAGTTATTCTTCACGCTAGATTGTTACTCATATGTAAATGATTAATATAGGTACTTGATTTTAGCTTGATAAATTGATTTCTCATCTTTTTATGCAGCATGATGTATCGATTCCCTGTTATGAGGAAACTTGCACTTAAAGATTATGGATTGAGTAGCTTACCCTTCGTCATAATGAAAAACCTGGTTAACCCCTTCTTGCTGGAACCAAATGTATCATATTTCATCCTGAATTGCTGCTTTTTTGTCTAAAGTCACACTGCCTTAGCCTTTTTTAAGAAAGGCAACGAAAGTCACAGCGGTCTTTGAGTTGTGTAAACAGGGAAAGATTTATATTACTCTATGTAACATATCAGATTTCATAATCATATTTTCAAAGATAAAATTTAAGCTAAAATATTAGGGGTACTTAATGAGAAGGTTATCATCATATTTGACCACTACATATTCACAAGGAGCAAAACTACAATAATTTATGAATAACTTGTAATTGCCCAACACCAATCCCCACCACCATTTTTGACTCACCAGAAATCTATCTATCTGTTTTATCAGAGTGAGGCTTTGGAGAATGAACATTTACATCTTTATAAGTTCCTTCTTCATTCCCATTTTGCTAGTATTTTTTTATGATTAAAATGATTACCATCAAATTGGTCTCAAGATGTAGCTAATATTCATTTACACAGACAGAACTAAACAACATTCTTCTCTAAAACTACATGTAAAAGGATTGAGTGAGATTCACTTAGATAAGATCTCAATGAAGCAGGTATCACTTTAAAATACAATACTTTTGGACAATCTTATTCTCAATATTCAAAGCTATTTTTCACACAGCTCACACTGTTGATAAATTAAACTGGATAGGATTTTGATGTTTGAGTTTTATCCCGTCACAACACGAAAATGGTAAAGCTTCTTATTTTCTTCTCAGCTTGATATGTTTAGCTATCGGATCAATATCCTAGTCAAACACACATATTCTTCAAGGAAATGAATTAGGATATCTAAGATTACTCACAAATCAGAATTTGTAATTCCTAAAAAGAGGATTTACAAATCTAAAGCAAGCTAAGTTTATTTTTAAATCACTACGAAATTTCAATTACTCACACTCATGTGGAATGAGTATTAGAAAACTTAGCACACCTCAAGTAGTGCCTTCTCTTAGGTTGAAAGCAGTAACCAGACCTACGAAAAAGCAGAGTTAGAGAATACCAAAGAGATTTAGAATACCTGGGAGAGTACCTCTTCGACAATAATTGCGGCCGCTACTACCACTACAAGATTATATTTTAAACATTAGAGAGTTATAGACATCTCAAGCAAGCAGAAATATGTCAATCCTTATAGACGTTCAAAAAGGATAAACACATAAATCATGACTACCAGAGAAGCTATTTCAATATCTTGACATCTATCTTTATGAATGACTTAAGAATGCCAAGAATATAGAAAATGTATCATTATCGAAAACACACAGCTGTCAATTAATAAGGTGCAACACATTTCAGCACTTAATTCCTAAATTTCGAGATAGAAAGTAAAGAAATTTACCGAAGAACTCCCAAATTTTAACTCAATATCTAACATTGACTGAGGAATCCATTGGAAGGAAAACTGAATCTTGGAAATTTAATAATTTGTACCACCGAATTTGGATGAGACGAATGTTGTTAGAGAAGACTACAAGATAAAGCTGAAATTGTAGAGACAAATTGACATGGGAAGAAGAGACGCGTACAAAAAGGGCACAAAGGTAATTATGTGCCCAGCTTTAAGCGCATCGGACACGCGGCGCATTCTTGAATCAGATCTTTTGTCGATTAATCTCAAAGTTCAGCCTATATAGCGGATCAGTCAACCAATTATATAGCCCATATATGAATATCTATTTTTACCCCGGGAAGCAGGACGACGAAAAGCGCCTAAACTCCCGCTCTCATTTTTTCCTCGTTTTGTTACTCTTGTTGTCTCTGACTCTTTATTTTTTCTCTCTTCTTAACTTTAAGTTCCAATTTTCAGTTATCAGTGAGATTTAATCTAAAAAATTTCAAGGGGTTAATGTTAATGTCCTTTCAAGATACTTTGTTGAATTTTTAGAATGAAGAATAAAGACATTTGAGAAAAATGATTTGTTCTAATCACACTTGACTAAGTATTGGATAACTTGCATTTTTTTTGTGTTGGTGTCTGCTCCAATTTGCATGCAGGTATCTTTGAAAAAAACCAATTTGTCAAAGAGAATAATGGTAATGTCTCAAGTTATTATCTTGTAATGTTAAATTTAAGACTAAATGTTGTGTTTGTTCGGAATGTCGGCGAAATCCATTTTAAATTTAATTAAAATTGATTTTTGTTGAGCATTAATTTTTCTTATCTTGTTATTTTCTAATTTTTTCAGTATCGAAAAGCCTATTCACAGACCATTTATTGTTTTATGGAACTTCCTAGTTTTATTGTTGTTGTTTTAGAATAAATATCTTATTATTCTGGGTTTGGATGAAGCCTATCTAGTTTTATTTGTCATTATTGAAATCCACCAAAGTTCTGAATTAATTATGAAGATATTTCCCTTTATTGTTTCTGTTGAGTTTTTTCTTTTTGATATTCTTTTTACCTCTATGTATGGTTCTGTCTGTCTTGAAAAACTTATCCACTAGACCATTTAAGGTGTAGGTGAGACTGCTTTAGTTGTAGTTCTGAAATTCAATTATAAACAAAATAGCAAATCACTTTCTTTAAGATATTTTTTCCAACTTATTTAATTAGTGGTTACATTTTATCTGCAAAAGCAAACATCAAGGAAGACATAATTGGAAAAAGTAAGAGCAAACTTGTTTTCACGGTATCATAGTTGTAAAAAAGTTTCTCCTGCTGCCATCAACAACGTACCTTAACTGATATTTCACAGATATCTGTGGCGGTCATATCAAGAAATTTCTCTCCTAATTCGCCTATTAATGTTGCAACAGTTGATCCACTTCCATCTGTCATTACAACCTCAAAGCGGGCCCTAATATGCAATTAATTTGCGTTATTTCATTTTCATAAAGCCAATGACTGAAGAAACTTTCTTTCTTTGAAGATGTAGAACAAACATATTTTATTAAGCTCGGACTCCAAGACGCAATACCTGGGTGTCAACATCGCAGGTTGCTTGCAGCTCCCACAGTGAATAATTTTCGGCAAATGAGTTCTCTACTGCTGCCCGCAGTGGGAACACAGTAATTCATAGAAATCTTGGTCGGCAATCGGAAATGATAATTTACCTTCCACGTAAAACAGTTGTATCTGTGAAAGAGGAAAATGCAGGTAGATTTATTTAGTTGGGTTAAAAATACTAAAGTTATTTATATGTACACATATTAGCATGCGTGAAATGCACATACATGAGGTTGTGACTGGATAGCAACAATTGGGACAATATTGTTTTGTTCTGCTGCAAGCACCAGAGACAAATCAATCACTGTTTGCTGACTGTATCTCATTAATCTTGGTCGGTTGTCTTTGACCCTGTACGTGTATAGAGGCATTTCAATGGCAACAAAATGTGAGGTACATTTAAAATGACACAAAGAGGTTGTGACAACTGACAAACTTAAAAAACACAGGAAATAATAGGAATTGGTTGTTCCAGTGACAAATTATTGTGCAAATTACACCAACAACACTGAAAATCAACAGAAAGTACCAAAAAAATATTTCTTCTAGTTGACCACAATTATAATGCATATAACATAATTTTCAACTGGCCAGAGCTCCAACATATAGTACAAATGTGGTGTGTGGATATAGTGTAGACACGTTCTAAAAATACAAATAAGAAACTATTAGCCTCAGTGACTGCAGTAGTTCCTGTTGGAGGAGTAAATTAATTTTGCAGAAATCTAGTCAACATTGAACAACGGTATCACCTTATTTGTCAGATGGTACAACAACTATCTCCGAAAACCAATGCGGTGCAGTGCTATTTCATAGCTAATCAAAGGGGTAATAGTACATATTGGAAGCTCATAGAAGTACTGGTTATTCTTACCAATGTTATATATACCATACCAAAATACTCACTGAATATAAGGGCAAAGTGACACTTCCCTAAGAGTTGTTCAGTAAATTATTTTGGTGAGAAAAATTGCATATAAGCTCTAAGATTTTAAACTCATAAAGTTATATTGTAAAATGAGATGCAATGTAGTTCAAAACCATCTCAATTAAGATACACAGATGCCAAGTTGTTATAAACTTGTAATTACCTGAAAGAAAAATATTGAATTTATAGCCTGCTAAGTATGTCTCTTTTTTTTGGGACGAAGGGAAACACGGTAGTGCAGCAGGAAATTGCATATGCTGGACAATCTAGTTTAACCCACACATGTTTAGTTTGCATGAACTAATTAACCAAATATAAAATTCAATTATGTCAATATTTGTTCCATACCAATTCAGAAGTCTTCCAACTTGAGGATATGGTGGATTTATCAGTATAACCGAATTGTACCTTGTCGACAATGATAATACTATATGACATATTATGTTAGTAAAGAATTCACAACAGACCTCTTGCAGTACCCAAAAAAAAGTGCAATGTTTTCCATACCGCCATAGCTGGCTCGCGTAATTCGTTTTGTTACAATTATTGGGTATTCAACAACCTGTGCAGCGAGGATGCTCCCATCAGTGTCGGCGAAGTCTTCCCACATCGTAAGGATAGTAGGCCTCATACTGCAGTAAAATGAATGGGCAATAAGTGACACTACCTAATAAAAAAATATAAGTCTAACAATGTCCGCAAGAGTAATAAAGAAGAGGATGTAAATATAAAAATAGCAGAGACAATTCGGTAAGACTGGAATTCAAACAATGCTATAAGTAAGTAACATGTTCGCGCAGGAGAGTGAAGGTTGACAGAAAGGTCATTTAAATGATGCGTATCGTGTGTTTAAGCATACAAATGCAGCATGACCTATATAGTTTTTTCCGGTTTGGAACTAATGACTTCTAGAATATGTAATTGTCACCGTATTTTCTAAAGTCTATGCAGCGAATATATAGTAAAAATATACATTTTAGGATTCGAAAAGAGAACAGATAAATTACCTGATAGATTGCCGCGTATAAGGATTCAGAAGGGAACTTTTCTGTCTGTGTATGAACTTAAGAACTTATCTAAATAGTTTTTCATATGTTAATATATTGCACTTTATCATTCGTTATTAAGGTTTTTTTGTCAACCAAAAATATTTCTACAAAAAGTTGTAATTGACGTAGAAGAGTAAATAAGGGAGCATTTGGAGAAATGAAACACGTCTATCTAATATATTAGAGTTAGCTGCACAGTAAAATTTTTTTCCAATGGATGATCTTCTAAAATGAGTAACAAACTTTCTTAACTCATATTATATATGAATCATGTTTTAGCTACAAAAATGACGTGGGCAGTAGAAGATGAGGAATATTGATCTCCCGCTTACTAATGAAGTCTTCTTGACTAAGATGTGTTAGATGATAGCAGTCAATGTATACATTAAAAAAAGGCAGTAATGGACATATTAAAAAAACAATGGTAAACACATATCAGGCTTCTTTGCATTTATTTTCTCGTGAGTAGTATTGGATTTTACCAAGGCCAATATACAAAAACAAATTGTACAAAACCATGGTAATAGCTGAAATGTTGTAGCTCAAAATGTCAGGACGAAGAAAAAGTTGGATTATGACTGAAAGCCTATACAATTTATTTTTGGAGATCTTTTGTCTTGTTCTATTCGTAGAAAGATTAAATTTGTTGAATGAAACGGTAAGGCAAGTGTCATAGATCAAGCTGAAGATGCAATAAATGAGTCTGAAGAAATTTCTTCTTGCCAGCTTTAGTCGAAGAAGGTGACACTGATGAGGAGATGACTGAGATTATAATCTCATGACATTATAACTTCTTAATTGAAGGTCTCTGACCGAAGTAATCAACTGAATAAGATGACATTGTAGCCAATTTTTTTTACAAGTAGTAGCGACAACAATAAAGTAAATAGAGTGCCAAAAAACTTACTTGGCATCCATTACGACGACTTCACGGCATTTGTTACTGTTAGCGCCAACATACTTTATGGAGCCACAATTCACCACAACGGCAACTATGATACAAATAAATTTAGACCAATGTACACAATGTCGTCGGCGGCAAAGGGTACAGTATTCAACCTCGTCGGCGGCAAGAGCGGTGGGTCTTGTATGTTATCATCTTTCACCTCTTCGACGACAGTGAATTTGTCAATAACCCATTCAAAACGGTTGATAGGCACTTTGTAGGGTAAAAGAACCCTCACTTTTGGGGTAGATATCAAGTAAGTGGAAAACAGGGTGAGCTTGTCTGCATACTTTTCTATGTCTTCCCCGTACAGAACAGCGGCTACTTGCTCTTCCTGCAATTTGATAGAATGATGAGTTACTCAACTACCCTTGCGGAAGTGTATCCATATAGACACATGGAGACATACAGATGCAAAATACTGAAATATTAAAATAGTAAACAAGTACAGTATGAGCAGCCTCAAACTCATGAAATACAATTGATAACTAATATATACAGGGAATTGGAATTTGTAGAGCGCTACCAAAAAAAGGGGCGCGAGGAAGAATATTAGTCAATCATAAAGCGTAACTAAAATTGTTTCATATCATTGACATAAAGTCAGCATCTCTCTTTGAACTAAAGAATGTGTAGTTGAACTGCCCATTCTCAGATGTAGATCTCATGCAGCAAAAGTAAAGAGAATCCACTGTATTGCATCGCAAAATATGTAAAGTAATTATATATGTCTAAAACGTTTAAATGAGAGAAGAAACTGAGTCGGGAAACTTTTTGTGACCACCCCAGAAATTCTAAAAGTTTTAGCTACTTCTGTTATGAGGTCAAGCTGAAGCTGCCACCACTTTTAGCTACCTTT